GTTCTGGCGGCCAGTCTGAAATTCCTTCAACTAGAAGCATCTGCCGAAAAAACCGATGCCATGACAGACAAAAACTGCGGGGAACTCTGCAAAAAACGCATCTTCGCACGGGCAGCCCGTGCGTTGGGCAGCGACAAAAACTGCAGGGAACTCTGCAAAAAACGCATCTTCGCACGGGCAGCCCGTGCGTTGGCCATTGTTTCACTCATTTTCAATCGAAAGCCAGAGAAGCTAAGGAGATGAAACTTTAAAAGGCCAGCGTTCGCGCATTGCACTGCTGCAAAAAACGCATAAAAATCAACTAAACAAACCGGTGGAATCTGCTTCTCATGCGATGATAAAGTTGTTATCAGCTGGTCACAGTAGGCTCTTGCAACTGATGCTTCCTCAAGCACGCCATCCCACGATGATAACATATTATAAAGTAACATTCTATTCAACTGCAAATCTTCAAGCAGCTGCCACCAGAGACATTTCTTTTGTTCAGCCCGCTAAAATACTAGTTGCAAATAAAGAATGACAATGACTACAGCCAAAAAAGGAAAAATGAGAAGAAACAGCTGGAACAACTTGAGCAATAAAAAGTCGGCAATAATAAATATCAATCGCATACATTTATGCACTACTGAAGTAATTTCATGAAAATGACGAAACTAAAGGAACTACTAATGGCAAATGCGTGGCAAACATATATTTGAAAAATTTAAATTGGACAAAACGCGTTATCAGTTGGTACTCGCGATACGTCAAAAGACCACAGGAAGGTCACACATGCGCTGGCCCGATCCGTTAATTCGATTGTATGGAGTATTGTGGATGAGGGCGAGCTCAGGATAGAACTCGGCGGCGTGGCTGTCGGCTCAGTCACTAGACAAGATCAACAGCGCGTCAGTGATGGAAATGCCGTATTAAGGAAGAATATAACGCTGCACTTTGCCAAATTATCTTGGCAATTTCCAGCCCGTTAACAGTCATCAGACACAAGTGGAGAACGATCAAAAAAACTCACCTCATCATCTGCGAACAATTCTTTCTCATCGTCCAGTGCAGATGAGTCCAAGGAGGACATGGTACTGGCATGTTCGATGTGTTTGTTAGGCACTAATTTTTTGTCAGGTGACGCGCTGACTGACTGAAAAGTCCGACAGTATAAATAATATCATGGGAGCAAAGTTCCATTGGGCACATTTAGAATTAAGTAAAACAATCTTCTGCTTCCCGAGGAAGAAACGATGAGAAAGCACTTAGAGTTCTTTTAACTGAGTGATGTGAAAGATATCACTCTGAAACAAACGACCAGATCAACTCTTCCTCATAGCGTAAATTACTCTAATAATACTATTCACATTAGACGGATTATTTTGTTAGAAAAATGCTACAACTTGCTGATACCTACCAAGTATCGAATTATGGCTCGTTAGCTCATGGCTACCTTTTTCGGTGCAGCAGAGATTAAACATTCAGATCTACACAGTCTGGCTCAATGATGCATTTGTTGCTTAACAAGGCCAGCTTTCGCTCTTCTCAAGATATCGACGGCAATTTATAAATATACTGAAATCTCACCAATCCTTTCGAATTCATTTCACTGTCGGAGCAGTCAAATGGCTCGGTTTGCTTTGCAGTGGACTGTTTCGTCGTTGGTACGCTGTTTACAGCACTGTCTTTTGAACGGTTCTCGGAAACGAGGTTGCTCTAAAATGCGCAAATTTCCCTCATTTGAGACATCAATAGCATAGTAAGTGTAAGAAAAGTGGATAGGCTGACCAGCTAAAAACTTATACACACATATACTCATGCATACATGTACATATACGTATGTATAAGTGTGTGAGTATATGTGTGTTAGCTGTATATATACACATATATGTGCATACTTATATGCACACATACATAACTTATGTATTACTTATGTACATTTATGCATTTATACATGTATGCGTAAGTTAAAAACAGCTACTCCGAATGTCCAAACAGTTACGAAGCAGCTACTACGGAAGTCAGAAAATGCTTATTTAGCGAATCGAACTGAAAGCCAAAAAAATTACATTCATTTTTTGTTTTGTAGCATCAGCCTGACAGCAATTCAATACCCTGCTTTTACCATGCAGTTCATCTTCCTCTTCTTCGTCATCTTTTGCTGCTTTATCGCTTTCATCCATAGCGTGAAGGCTGACTGCCTCAGCAGCGGCAGCATTGTGGTTGCATTCAGACACTTCATGTTCTGTAACAACACTGTCAAGGGCAATAGTTTATAAGGAAAAAGTGAACAAATAAAACCTGATACTGAGATAAAACCAGAAGTTATAGCTTA